CACACACACGCACACACACATGATGCGCAAAACTCCGCACTTGAACAGTCATTAGCAAATACTTAAACTAATAACAAAACAGTAGCTTATTCAGAAGCGCCAGATTGTCATAGTAAAGTCAGAATTACCTCCTCTCCTAGTTTCACGAAACGGTCGTCCATAAAATGCATTGCTGTTCTGTTGTAAGTAATCTTAAAGATTCCTAAATGCATCTACTTTCAGAAGGCCAAATAAAGTGCTTTTGCTTTCGCACTGAAACACACAGCGTCTCTCTGACATGGCTGCTTCAACACTAACTGCGGTTACTGAAACCGCGCCTTCTTTCTTTGCGTGAACATTTGGGCGGCATTATGCAAATATTTCCACATAGTGAGGTAGATATGTGGGGGCGTGTTAGAACGAGCCGTTTTAGGGGGGCGTGGCAGAGTCTTAACTTTGATAAAGAATATCTCTTTGGTTTTGAGACTTTAGTCTTTGCAACTTCAGGGATCTTATCTATGCACAATCAGCTTGTAACACTCCAAAGAGAAAGGAAAACTTGAAATCGCATCATATGACCCCTTTAAAGTCTTATTTTGATGTAACAAAGTGGTTATATCTAAGTGTGTGAGTTATGTTTTTAAAATTAGTCTTCCAATTAACACCATTATATTGTTCATTCAGACTGATTCGCAAACACGCACAAACACAAGAGGCAAGATTTTATCACCTCTTTATTTTTGGTTTTTATATTCAATCAAAGCCAAACATAACCAGTCATATCCAGTCATATTGCAATGGAGGCATTGCCTCCTCTCACGTGATTTCCCCCCCATTCATTCTCAATTACCCCCCAGTAAACTCATGGCACGCTTTAGGGGGTCTGTTAAAACTCAGTGGGCTCAGGGGAGGAGAGAGATGTGGACTCCCGCTGTAACTTTACCTGCTGGTGTCACAGTTGGATAGTTTTACTTTAGAAGAACAAGTGATTTATATACTTTTTACTGTCATATTTTGTAATATTGCTGTTCTTTCAGTTTTGAATTTTTAGCTGCAATTTTTTTTCTCGTCCAATATTTTGAGGAGACACTGCCATCCTTGCCACACCCCTGATATTATACATATTTCAACAAAGACAAACAATAATACACTATATACACTGAACAAAATTATAAACGCAACACTTTTGTTTTTGCCCCCATTTTTCATGAGCTGAACTCAAAGATCTAAGACTTTTTCTTTATTTATACATATACATTTTTTTAACTGCTGTATTTTGTATTATGTGGCATTTTGCACGTTTTTTTAATTAATTGTTGACATAACTTAGAAAGGCATTGTCGTGGTGTATATTCTTTCATATTTTGGTCCAGATTCTGTGTTGTCCTTGTTTACCAAGAAGAAGGGGAATTCTCTTTAGATGGCCAAAATGATAAGTTGTTGCTTTGTAAAGCATGATAGTGAATCCAGAGCTTGTGAAATATTGCAAAAGATTGTTTAACTAAAGGCCTAATGTGATTATTTTGAAAGGTTCTGTGGCGGGACACTTGTAAGATTATTAACTAAAGTTTGTGTTATTAACTAAAAAAAAAAAAAAAGTAAAAGAATGGAAAACCATCATGTGAAACGTATATTCTACTTGTATTTTAACTGACTTAAAAAATTTGAAGATTTAAAATTTAGAGATTTTATAAATTAATTTTATTTGTTAACTTTTTCAACATTTGCTGCCCGTATTGTTGACATTTTTTGTGGTGTTGTTGATGTTTTGGTGCAAATTCATTTCTCATTTAACATGGTAATACTAATGCAATAGTTAATAAATTTGAGATTGGCTTCAATACTTCTACCTTTTATCATGCAAGACATCGGCTTCATCAAAATAGCTTTAGTTTGAAAGTGCACAACTTCCTAGAAGAAAGGTCTTTGCGTTTGCATAAATTTGTAGTTGCAGATTTGCACTTCTAAACAAGACACAAACACAAAAGAAGCAGGTAATAGTCGTCCTCTTTTAACAAGCTCTCTTGCAGCAGTCCTTGAAAGATAGGATAGTCAGTAAGAATGTATGATGCAGTATAATGAAAAAGAGTTCTTTTAAAAATGTATTCGAAAACATGTTGCTATCCATCTATCTATCTATCTATCTATCTATCTTATCTGTTTTTACACATTACTATGCAAATATGAAATAAACGTTTTTATACATTATTATGCAAATATGAAATACTTTTAATACAATTATCAAACAGTTTTTCAACGTTATCACCCCATGTCTTTCATTGTTGACATTGAAGGTTGTGCACCCAATCAAACTGTTGTTTTGGTGCAAATGCTTCTCTCATTTAAAATAGCTAATGTTAATACTAATTCAGTAGTTAATAAATCTGAGATTGGCTTCAATACTTCTGCCTTTTATCATGTTAAATATGGGGGTAATTAAAGAGATTTAATTTGAAAGTGTTCGACTTGCTAGAAGAAGCTTCTTGGGTCTTTTGTATGAGTTTGCATTTTTAATGTGTTTTTAGTTGTTTCCTGTACTGGGCTACATAAAATGAACTTGCTTATAACCACTAGCCCCTCACCCACACTCACCTCTAACCCAGACACAAACCCAGAAAAAAAGGGTTTTGACATGCTCTTTTGCAGCAGTCAGTGAAAAGTACTGTAAAGATGTTCGAGATGATGAGGAGGAGAAATCTTTACAAAATGTGAAAAGTTCTTAGATATTTGTTAAAAACGTTTGTACTATTTATTTACCTGTTTTTTTTTTTACTTTACTTTAAGATAGCTTTTATAAATTAATGGAAATCTTTTAAATCTTTTGTCCTTTATTGTTGACATCGAAGGTTGTGCACCCAATCAAACCTGGTTTTGGTGCATATTCATCTTTTCTTGATGAATAAAAGCATCAATTTTATTAACATGTTACAATAACGTTCTATTAATTAAAGTTAGTTAATGCATTAACTGACTTAAACTAACAATGAGCATTACATTTGTTACAGTTTTTATTCATCTTGGTTAATCTTAATAAAATATTATCAGGTCATGTTAGCTCAGGTCCATTAAATAATATTAACAGTAATATTATTTAACAATAATGTTAATATTATAAAATGTAATTTAAATTTTTAACTTTAAACGGTGTATTAGAAAATGTTGAAATGAACATTAACTAAGATTAATAAATACTTTAGAAGTATTTCATTGTTAGTTTAAGTTAACCGAATGTAGTTAACTACTGTTAACAAATTAAATCTTATTGTAAAGTGTCACCTCACAGTACATTTCGAGGACCAAATGTAATACCACTGATGTAATACCAGTACATTTTGACCTTGTGGGACCTTTTAGGTTTTTAGGTTTAGGGTAAGCGCATAGAAAATACAGTATCAGTATCATCAGTGCTGCGCTCATGTATTAGTTGTGTCATGAGCAGTGTTTTAATTTTATAATGTTGCTAATCTTAATATATTAAAAGTTTTTTTTCCCTATGAAGTCTATTGAAGACACGAATCATAAATAGTACTGCTAACTAACAGATGTTTTGTGTTTGGTGAGGTAATGTGAGTAAAGTACAGTAGCTGCGCGTCATGCAGTAATTTCAGTCTAATCATCACAAAAGCTGTTCACCCTTTTAATTCCTAGAAATAATTCAACTAAATTAAAAGTTTGGTTGCAAAACATTATTCTGATGAAGTTAATAACGTTTTATCTCACACTCAGACTCCTCCATTCCCATCAAAGCATCATACACACCTGCAGATACCACTGAAGGTAAAACTGACTTCAAACTCACACTCCTGCATTAGTATACTCACACACACACACACACACACACACACACACACACACACACACACACACACACACACACACACTCATCTCTCACACTGAACTTCATCCACCACACATCTGGCCATCCCACCATGCCGTGCACACGAACATAATATCACTGAACAAGAGGCAGTTATTGTTTGATTGATTGATTGATTGCCCAAAGCAAGCAATTTTAGGCTACACCAGGCTTCGCGTTTAAGGTCTTGTAATAGAGTTAATAATGATAAACATCTGTTTTTGGTAATAAAAATAAATCCAGACTAAATAAGAATTTATTTAGTATTCATTCCTTTTTTTTGTCTTCTGTTTACATTTTATTATATTTACGCGGTACCAAACTCGACCACAAGGTGTCACTAGCAGTATGTATGAAATCTAATGTTACACTGCTTTCTCGATTTTTCCTTAATAATACATTTTGCGCATTGTAATCCGGGCACAGTCAGGTTACGTATGCTTCATATTGTTTTCGTTGTCATGTAACTGGTGTTTTTCGTTTTGTTTTGTGTTTTGTTTTTAAATTGTTGTCCATTACATTAGAATATTTTTACAATACTTGAAAAACGTTGAAACGTTTTTTTGTATGTATTCTCAGCATCCCATTTCTAAATATTAATAATTTCTCACATCTACATTCTTCTCTGTAACAGTAGTTTTCAAGTAATGAATCACATCAGAAAAGATATTGCTAGATGCCAATAATCAAATTAATTTAGCCACATAATAATGCATAGTTGGGATAGACAAGTCTATAAAAAAGCAGAAGAGAACACGTTTTTTGTTGAGCCTCAGCCTTAATCATAAAATTAAATGATTAAACAATGATTGCACAATGTAATTCTGATGAAGGTAATTCATATGGTTTTTATCTCACACTTTCCACAGATGCAGTAAAAAGTGATGCAGGTAAGTGTTGCTCTGTTTCTGTTATGCTGTTCCTGATTAAACATATGGGACAGAAAGTATATACAGTATCAACTTGACATGCTTACATATTGTTTCATGCTGTCAATCCATCATTATAGGCACTCAGTCAAACTCCTCCACTCCCACCACTTCACAAAACACAAATATCACTGAAGGTAAAGCTAACATCAAACTCACACTCTTTCATTGTTATTCTCTCACACACAATCTCTCACATTCTGACCTTGGTCTTTTAAGTTTGTAGATTTAGCGCCTAATATGAACTTGCTTTTCCCTTCAGTCGCAGACCCCTCACACACACACATTCCTCCACAAGTCACAAAACCAAGTGAAACAGGTACTGATTATCCTCTTCTGACATACTCTCAAGTGCTTTATAGTCAATCACAAGTAAGGATTTTCAAGATGATATTCTAAAATCTAGGATTGAAATCTTACTTTGCAGTATTCATATCAATTAATATGGCTAATGCTAATGCATTGCTGTTAAATATCAATCAAAATTATTTGTATTTAAAAAATCATTCATATTTATATTAAGTGTAAACCTATTTAAAGCTTTTTGTTCTCATCTGTAAAAACAGGTATTTATAAGAGAAACATTTTATTTGATCAAATATTCATTATCATGCAGGGAACACTTCTGATCTGAAAGACACTTGGAATTACACATCAATCTCACCCACACTCACCCCATCACAACAACAAAACACCAGCACCACTGCAGGTAACAGCATATATTTTAACATTATATTTCACGTTTTTTTATTCAAATCTGTTAAAAAAGTATTTATAATAAAAACTTTGTTTGATTAAATAATCATTATAATTTAGGGGAAATTACTGTTTATAACCAGACACACACTTCAATCTCACTCCCACACACCACCTTGCAACAACAAAACACCAGCACCACTGCAGGTAACAGCATACATCATATTTAATGTTTTTTTGTGTGTGTTTATATATATATATATATATATATATATATATATATACACAGTATACATATGTTGTTTAGTGCATGCAACTGAATTCGTTGCCCTATGTGGGGTCACCGTGTGATATTATATTTTATCTAATAATAGTTATCATGTACTAAAGATAAAATCCAGATAATCTCACCCCCGTGCACCACACAACAAGAAAACATCAACACTACTGTAGGTAAAAGTGTATTTAACATTACATTTCTTTTCTACTTTTTTTTATATTTGACTAATTTATCAGTTTTCAGTCTCCATCATGTAAATAAATTAGCATACTGTTCAGCTTATGCAGTTTATGGTAGTAATAATCCATTTTGTATTGACTTTCTTTGTACAATACAGACATCTGGTACTATGTTGGGTCACCGTGTGATGTCGAACCTTCTCATACAGGACTATATGGACCCACTTTATATTAAGTGTCATTAACTGCAAACATTTACATTAATCATTTGATACAATGGGCATTTGATACAATGGGCTTATTGTGTGCATACAGTATGGTTGAATTTATATGTAAAAATACCTGCATGTAATTATATTTTTAATTAATTTCTGTAATTACCTAACCTGACCCATATCCCACCTCAAAAGCATCAAAAGTGTTTTGCAATACAACATGAACACAATGAGTAGACTGTACCAACAAATAATTTTTTTTTTAACTTAAGTACATGGTAGTTAAAGACACCAGATATAAAGTGGGACCAGATAAACATTTTATTTGATCAAATAACAATTATCTTTTTATTATAATCAGTATTGCACATCAATCTCTCACCCACACACACCGCCTCGCAACAACAAAACACCAGCACCACTGCAGTTTAGTTTTTATTAATTAACCAATTTGTTATTTTTTCTTCAACCTCAAGTCATGTAAATACATATAAAATAGCTTTCCTACACGCATCTGCATCAGCACCAGCTAATGAAGCCCTCGGGGTTTCATTTAAAATCTAAAAATATTTCACTAATATCACATAACGTTTACCTCCCATAAGTGGTATTGTTGATGTCAAAGGTTGTGCACCTTCATTATTTATTTTAGTGCAAATTTATAATTGTGTAATGTAACACGGCTACTACCAATACAACATTTAGTATGTTAATCAACTTTTATTTCCTTTAGAAACAGGCCCCTCACCCTCACACACTCCTACACAAACCCCACTATCACCAGGTGCTTCTTCAGATGTGTTGTTTATTCGTTAATTGAACTTTGCAGAACATCTTTAGTCTGGTCAGTCATGTTTAACTTTTTTATTGTCACCTAGCAACTCAACCAGACACCACCTCACCACCAAACACCACAATCACACCTCTCACCTCCACGCAACCCTCCTCAACCTTACACACATTCACCAGCATCACGGGTAACACCACACCGTTTGTGCTCTCTGATGTAATTTTTCATGTTTATTGGACAAAATTGCTTGATTTAACATTTAAATATGTGCTTTTCTCAGGTACCACAGAAATCCCATGTGAGTATTTGCTTATATATTGTGCCTGTTGTGTGAAGTCAACTTTAATTGTGTTGTTCAAGAGACAGTTTGCTTCTTATGAATTTGTGAATGTTCATACGCATTTACACACAGGTCAGTACAGCCTAATGAAGAGTGTGAACAAAACCGAAGCTTATGTGGTGAATATCAACGGCTCTAAGGACCAAATTTACACAATCAGGATAAAGGATAAGCACAATGAGATCCGTGCTGAGCAAATATCTAACCGAACTGCCTTTAAAATTCCATTTGAATGGTTAAAACCATGCACTGTGTACACCGTCAGTGTGGATGACTGTAAACCCAGTGGAAGCAACACCTTTACTTCCAGTGGTAAGTGTTTTAACTGGGAAGAAAATTTCTGCATGAATTAGATCTAAAATAGATCCCATCTATCTACTAAAATAGATGGGACATTTTATTTTTTGAGTGACCTCAAAGTATTTAGATAATTATAATTTTAATATGTATTTACATTTGTCTCTTAATTTTTGTATAGAAAATGGAGAAACTGTTCCGAATACTGTTGTGACAAGCGTGACAGATAATAAAGTGTGTTTGAAAGGAATATTTAATGATAATCTGAAATGGGATCTGACTGAATGTGTTGAAATAACGGAGCAAAACTCTTGCGCATCCACACACACCGTTGTACTGGACACATGTACCTACACAATGAATGTTGCTCTGCACCCAGGTTGGTATTTAATAAACTAAACAGATGTATCGTTATTCAATTTAGTTTTCAATTTAGAGAAAACTCTCATTTATGCTGCTGAATTTACTGTTTTTCAGTTCATGAGTGTGTATTGAATTGGTCACTGTTACGACCCTTTAAGATGGTCTAGGGGTAAAAGGAGTAACATTAAATTTGTGGCAAATCTGTAGACTTGATGGAGGCAGCAAGAGACAATGCAGGGACACAAACTGCCAACGAAAGTGATTTAATATACAAGGTGAAAAGAATCCATATAACTACAAAATATAAATCATTTAAAGAGACAACCCATATGTACAAATATTTACAACTCAGGAAAAAGGGAAACAAAAACAAACAACAAATCAACCCAAGAGAAAGGGGACGCTAGTGACGCCAAAAGAAAGAAAGAAACACAACAAAACCACTTTTAACTTATTTTAAACTTCTAACCTAACTAAAGAAAAGAAAGAAAGAAAAAAAACAAATCTTCAGCGCCAAGCGCCATATACTTCCCTACAATAACCAAACGAAATAGTAAATCAAAAAGGGGAAAGGATAAAAAATGTCAGAACAAAAACACCAAGGATTTTGGCATAAACTAAATAACAAATAAAGCAAGTCAAAACGAGTAAAAAGACAGCAAAAATCAGGGAGCAAAAGAGGTCTCCATTCACTTCTCTCCGTGTCCTTTTATCTGCCGGCGAAAACTTTACCAGCAGCGGATAGGTCGGCGTCAAGTTGCTTAATGATGACTGACAGCGTCATGAGCCAATCAGCAGTCAAGGAAGGCGGCCTAAGAGATCGATAGGGAAAGGGGAGAGAGAGAGAGAGAGAGAGAGAGAGAGAGAGAGAGAGAGAGAGAGAGAGAGAGAGAGAGAGCGAGAGACGAGGTAACGGGTAACTGTCTGGCACAGTCACAGCATTTACCTTACGGTAATCTGTGCAGAATCTAAATGTGCCATCGGGTTTGGGAACAAGTAGGCACGGAGAACTCCAGGGACTGCAGCTGGACTTGGCTAAATCATGTTCCAGCAAATACTCTACCTCTTGACGCATTACAGATCTTTTCATTGAGTTTACGCGGTAAGCATGTTGCTTAATAGGACGAGTTCCGTTCACATTAATATCGTGTTTCAGGACATTTGTTTGTGTAGGAACATCACCAAACAGACATTTAGAATCAGAAAGTAATTTTTCAATGTCTATTCTCTGATCCACGGTCAAATGATTAAGATATGAGTGAAGATCTTCTAAAATCTCTGAATTTGCTAACCTTGCACACTGCTGAAAAGTATGACGAAGCACTACACCATCTGTGTCCGCACCCAAGGTAACCGGAGATGGCGCCAGATCCACGGCTAGCGCAACAGAAGAGACAACGGGCCCTGCAGTCTGTTCCACAGCACCGGCCGTTGGCGTTGACGACTCTCTGGTATGATAAGCTTTTAACATGTTTAGATGACAAACACGGGTTTTTCGTTTTCGATCAGGTGTGTACAACATATAATCAGTTTCACTCATTCTCTTTTTCACAACATAGGGACCAAAGAAACGAGCAGACAAAGATGATCCTGGGACAGGTAACAACACAAGCACTTCGTCACCAGGTTGAAATGATCGCGCTACCGCTTGCTTATCATATTTACTCTTCATGTCTTTCTGAACATTGGCAAGTGATTCTCTAGCCAGCGACCAAGCAGTATGTAGACGATCTCGAAACTGGCTCACATAATCCAGTACACTAGTATTTGAATTCGAATTGGGCGCTAAAATCCGTTCTTTAAGAACCTTCAACGGACCTCTAACTTGGTGTCCGAACACAAGTTCGGCTGGGCTAAAACCAAGAGATTCTTGAACGGTTTCTCTGACAGCAAATAAAACTAAGGGAACCCCCTCATCCCATTCTTTAGCAGTGTCCTGGCAATATTTCCTAAGCATTGACTTAAGGGTTTGGTGAAAGCGCTCAAGTGCGCCCTGGCTCTGCGGGTGGTACGCACTTGAGACTCGGTGAGAAATTGCCAGTGATTCAAGTACTTGTTTAAAAAGTTTCGATAAAAAATTCGTACCTTGATCAGTTTGCACTATTTTTGGGAGTAACGGCTCAAACGGTGGTAAGCCGGCCTTGGCTTCGGCCTCCGCCTCCGCGTCATCATCAGCTCCGCCACTCTGCTTGTCCTCCTCCCCAGAACTGAATTGCGCCAGAGCCACGCCATCCATATCAACAACTCCGCCCGTTTCACCACCCCCAACGTTTGACGTAGGCCACACCTGCAACTCATTCAAACGCAAGATCAGTATTCGTTTTATTTCTTTTTTAAGAGACTGTTTACTTACAATAACCTGAAAATGGTCTGCGATCTGCAATAAATCCTGCTTCCTGCACAAATTAATCTGCTCTACAGATGGACTGGTAACAAAATCTTGCAAGTTAAACACTTCCATAATAAATAACCAACCAATAAGAATAACACTACTACACCGCATGAGTAAGTCCTATACTGTCACAATACCCCAAACAATGCAATGTCCATTCTTTGCAACCAACACATCTACCAAAATTACCACAATTACCATAATTTTGGGGATTAATTGATCCCGGACGAGCCCCCATTAAATGTTACGACCCTTTAAGATGGTCTAGGAGTAAAAGGAGTAACATTAAATTTGTGGCAAATCTGTAGACTTGATGGAGGCAGCAAGAGACAATGCAGGGACACAAACTGCCAACGAAGTGATTTATTATACAAGGTGAAAAGAATCCATATAACTACAAAATATAAATCATTTAAAGAGACAACCCATATGTACAAATATTTACAACTCAGGAAAAAGGGAAACAAAAACAAACAA